GTTTTTTAAATTAATTAAATTTAAATAAAAAATATTTAAAAGGTCTTTTCAACAAGAAGTTTAAGAATGGTAGCAAACCGTGTATGCGAGGCCAGTCCTTTATTACGTCGAAGAGGGCATAGTGCTAATGCCCCACAGGAAAGACAAAAAGAGGCGGGAATGGGTAGTTTTTGAATAAAAAATTTTTGAAGGATTCTAATTTAATAGGGTCTTCTTCAACACGTTTTGGCAACAACAAAAATACTTTTGATAGTAATCAACAGAAATTAAAGACGGCAAAGTCTACTTTTGCTACAACTAATGTTATAAGGTTATTTAAAATAAATTATTTTTGGAAGGTTCTTGGAAATTTGCCGGGACAGGGGTTTTTCGGGCCCGGTAGTCTGAAAACCGAGTATTTTGATAAAATCCGGGTTTTCGGGGTTTTAGTCCGGAAAACTCAGCTATGGTCTGATTGGAAGAAAAAACCCGGATAGCGGGACCGGAAAAATTGAAAATGTCGAAACCTAATAAAAATACATGAATGACTATTTTTAAAATTGACCTTCAAAATTTGGTAGAATATTTAGATACCACAAAATATGGTGGTATCTAAATATTCTTATGTTTTTTGAGGGAAAATTTTTATGTTTTTTGAGGGAAAAAGGCAATGAGAATTTTACAAAAAATATTTCCCTTTATTTTTTAAATTTAAAATCTTTTTTGTAAAATTATTTCTTAAAATAATTTTAAAAATTTTAACAATACTTTTCCAATGTTTTTAACATTAATTTAAAAAAATTTTTGTAGATCAGTCAATTCTGTCCGTACAATTAATCGCCCTTATGGTGCCCCTCTAGCAGAAAGTGAATCTTCAATTGTGGCCAATTCCCCTGCTGTAGAACAATTTCCTGGGGTTTTTCCTAACGGAAAAGAAGTAATTAATAACAAAAAACGTGGAGGTGGGGGTATTTTTGGAGCAAATTCTCGTTTTGGACGAAAAGAAGATAAAAAAATAATTGTAAATGAAGAAGATAAAAAGAAACAACAACAAAGACAACAGCAAAAGAATTCTGTTAATATTACTAATGGAAGTGGAAAGGAAAATAATTTGGCTAAAAATGGTAAGAAAAATTTAATTAAATTTGTAGGAAAAATTTTTTTGAATTTTTTAAAGTTAAATTTAAGCAATTTTATTCTAATTTATTTGGGAAAAAGATTTTTCTGTTTTTGAAAATTTATTTTTTTTAATCTCTCATGCCTCTCAACTTTCCACTATAAATATTTATTCTGATTAATTTTTGTTCCGAATAGGTATAACTTGTCCCGATTTTTAGTTTGTTTAGCCACTCACTTTTTTTAATCTATCAACCGACAATTTTTTCGATTTTTTAAATTTACAAATTAACGGGGTTTTATAAATTATAAAATTAAATTTCCAATATATTCTTTGATAGAATTTTTATTTTTTTTACCTTTTATTTTTAATTAACGGGAGAATACTCCCTTCTTTTTCCTAAGGAATATTTTTAAGTGAAAACAAAACCAATAAATATTTATGGACTTTGTAGTTATTTTTATTTTTTCTTTTATTTTTTAATTTAATTTTATTTCCAATATATTTTCTATTTTTATATTTAATTTAGATTGAAAAACTATCATGGGATTTTAAATATTTAATTTTTTATAGACATAGAACGGTCGTTAACCCTTTCTATTTTTTTTATTTTTAAAAGATTTTTTTTGAATTTTTTTTGGATGAAATATTAAAGGATTTTTAACTTTTCACGTTTCCTCGAGTATTTTTTTTTATTTTTTTTAAATTTTTTAAAAAATATTTTTGGGAATAATTTCGATTACTTCTTGCTAAATTAATTTATTTTATTCTTTCCTCTACTCATCTGTCTTATCCACTCAAATTTTTGGTATACTTCTCTCTCTCCCCTCTTATATATTCTAAATTAAATTTTGTCCAATACTTTTGTGGCTTATTGGCAATTTAAAATTTCTTTTTTCTACTTTTTTTTTTGTCAGTATATATCCTCCCAAAAATATATCCTTTTTCCCATCTTTTCTTATTTTCTTTCGCCAATTTTCGCCACTCCCGAGGGGATTGTTTGCCGAGTGGAAATGCGAGAATCCTTCCGCTGTCACTTCTTTCTTATTTTTTAGTTTATTTTTCCACCCTTTTGGTTTTAATCTTTTCTAAACTCCGCAACTTTTAAGATTTTATATTTTATTTAAACCAAAACTATAAATCAAAAAATAATAAAATAATAAATTTACTCTTTATTTTGTCAGTCACGCTTTTTTTTGTGTAATTAAATTTAAGAAAAAAAAACTATATTAAAATTGGTAATGGGAACTCCTTTCGTTTTACCCCTACTATCTTTAACAGGATAATAAAAAATTGAGGTATAATTAAAAATTTTAATTTTGATTAAGTTTTAAGCGAGAAATTTCTCTATTTTTTTCATACCAATCTTACTACTTTATTGTTTTTTCCTATAAAATAATTTAATTTTTATATTTTAAAATTCTCCTTACTCCCCATACCTTCATACTAGGGTTTCGCCGGAAGTTCCGGTTCCGGTTCCGGGTTCCGGAAGTTCCGGTGTTTTTTTGGTTCCGGTTCCGGTTCCGGGAACCGGAACTCAAATTGGTTCCGGTTCCGGCTCCGGTTTACAAATCGGTTCCGGCCAAACCGGAACTTTTTTACACCCCTAATGTTTTGTTTTTTTAAAAATATTACTAAACTACCCGTACTCTCGTACTTTGTATTAATAGAAAAATCGAAAGAAATATGTATGTTTAATTTCTTTCAATCTCCCTCATATAAGCGGGTGGCCGAGTGGTTAAGAGGTTAGGCTTCACCCAAGTCATTAATGATTTAAGGGAGGGTTCGCTTCCCTGTCATAGGACATTAAATTTTCATGTTTTTCTTTCCATAAGTAGCTTATCTTATACATAATTTTAATTTTTTTTAATTATTCTATTTTTACAAGGAGAAATTAGCGCCTTTTGGCTCTCCAAAATTCTTAAAATTTCTCGTTTGACTATAAAATGGTTAATTTTTTCGCTCAAATTGGTTCCGGTTCCGGTTCCGGTCAAAATTTCGGTTCCGGCGAAACCCTACTTCATACATATTTTCTCAAATTTTCAACTCAATAATCCTCTTCCTTATTTCGGCCTTCTCAAAATAATTTTCGGCCACACTTTTCCCATTTCATTATTTTTTTCTTTTCATTCACCCCTTAACTAGAAAAGAAAAATTGCTTCTTCTTTTTTCTTTCTTCTACCAAAGTTTGTTGATTGTTTATACCACAAAAGTTAAGAAAAAGCTTTTAAAATAATTAATGTGTGTATATAAATTTTTTATTTGCTATAAACTTTTTTTTGTTATTTTTTGCAGTAACAGAAACAAAAACATTGAACAGCACCTCAATAAAATCAAAGTCTTCTACCTCTTTTCAACGCCCAACATTGGTGGCCCGGCTGTCACATAAAAAATCTAGCAGTCAAGCAGTTGGGACGAGTGGAGGTGGAATAAAAAAGGGTGACGATTCAAATAAAAAAGGAAGCAAAGAAGCACAAAACCAAAAAGAAGAAATTATGTGAGTTTTTCTTTAAACTACTAATTTAATTTTAGAAATTAACAATTGATTAGTCTAAACTTTTTAAAAAAATTTTTTAAAGTTTAAAAACCCATTATTCTCCATGACAATTTAGCCAAGTGTTATTTTAGTCTGAAAATAATTTTTAAAAATGTTTTTGAATTTCAAACCCTTAAGAATTATTATTTTTTGTTAATACCAAGAATTTATTTAAAATTAGGTTTATTCGAGAATTATAACCCCCCCCCCCCCTATTTTAATTCTTTTTGAACTTATTTTTACTTTTTCTAAATTAATTTAAATCCGAATAGCTAACACAAAAGTTCATTTTTCCAAAAAAATTAAGAAGTTGCAAAAAAATTTATTTTTGTTCTAAGATCTATTGTTTAAAAAGATTTGTAAGTAGCGGAAAGGAAAGAATTTGATCGATCTAAAATGGTCGACACTATCGCCGAGAAGGAGAGAATTCACATGAAAAATTAAGAAAATAAGAGGAAATTAAGAAGAATTGGACGTGGAAGTTTTTAGTTGGGAAGGGGAGGGAAGGAGGGTTAAGAAGGGGGAAGAGAATGATTGAATGAAGAGAAAATTTTAGTTATTTTTGTGCGCGGGTCCGTTTGCTATTTTTCATCTTTTTTAAGGCGTAGTGACAGAAGACCCACAGACAGAAGACCCAAGGACAGAAGACCCACAGACAAAAGACCCACAGACAGAAGACCCACAAAAACAGAATATCCACAGACAAAAGACCCACAAAAAATTTTTTAACAAAAATTTTAAAGAAATTTTCTAAAATTTCTGAAAGAGATTTCTAATTTTTCAAGGCGCAATATTAATTCAGAAGTTAATTAATAAAATTTTTAGCGTTAAATTTTATGGATGAGTGCGATTTAGATCATTAAATTAAAAGTGTTTTGAAGTGATATCCTTGCATATCTCCAATACCCATGATCGCTTATAATCCTTCTATATCCCTCCATGTGGATTTAACTGACTCTCGCTATAATCCAGTTAATCCTAAATACCCCTTGATTCTAAATATCCCTTTGATCCACTTTTCTCTTTCATCGTCACTGACAAGAATTTTGAAAGGCCAAGAAGCCTGATTTCTACTTTTTTTAGTGACTCAGGTGCGAATTCTGAGAATTTGAGAAGGCCAATTAGCTATTTTAATAGTATTTTTTATATCTGATTTTTTGACACGACAACGACCGGATTTTCCGGATCAAAATCCCGAAAATCCGGGAAATCAAGATTCCTCTTCGTTAAACAAGCTCCACGGTAATTGGGACAATAATATTCCCATTGTTGGAACAGCTTCACCCGTTGTTGCAACAACATTCCCCATTGTTAAAATAACATTTCCATTGTTGGAATAAACTTCCCGATTGTTGGACAACCTTCGCTAATATTGAAACAACTTTCCCATTGTTGGATTGCCCTCTTATTGTGGAAAACAAATAGAACTAACAACATTCGCGCAAGCCAAAATTTATGGAAAATAAAAGGAAAACAAAAAATAGTTGTGGGTCTTTTGTCTGTGGGTATTCTGTCCTTGTGGGTCTTCTGTCTGTGGGTCTTTTGTCTGTGGGTATTCTGTCCTTGGGTCTTCTGTCTGTGGGTCTTCTGCGTCGACACGTTTTTTAAGGAGCAAACAGCTACTTTATAGGGGAAAGAATGTTGATTGTTGTTGTTGAAAAGGTGGTAGCCATTTAAAGGAAGGAGAAGGGCGGCCAACACCCAAAAATGATTTTTCCTTAAAAAATCGCTGTTGGGGTTTGAGCAGTTGTATTTTTATTCTTTTAGTTTTGTGATCAATTTATGTGTGCATATTTTAGTTTATTTTTAAGCAAATATTAAAAAAATTTTAATTTAATTTTTTATTTAAATTATGTAAACTTTAATATTTTTTTAAATGAGTCACCTTTTTTAAAATATTTTACAATGCAAACATGTGAACTTAACCCTTTCCTCTTTCTGTTGAGTGGTAAGAATATTTTTTTGGGTTAAATTGCTAAATCGGCTAGAAACTGCAAAAAACTTTCCTCAAAATCTTTTAAAAAAACCTAGGTTGACGTTTATTATGTCTCTTATAAATCTAAAAATTATTTTTTTGTTATTTTCAGAAAACAAAAACAATCAACAATGCTTGTAACTACCACAACAACCCCATTGGGTGCAGATTTTCGTTTAATTGACGAGCCTGCTTCTTCTGTTCATTCTCATTCTACTCCACTAAAAACAACATTGGACAACATTCAAAATGGAAGGAAAACTTCTTCACTTTCTTCTTCTTCACTTCAATCATCTACAATGCTTTTAATTGCAGAACAACAACCTTCTACAGGAGAAGTTTCTCTTAAAATGTTGGAACGGAAAATGAATGAAACCAATTTGGGGAATAATTCTTCTACTGCTCGGAGTAGGAAAAGGTATAGTTTAATAAAGCCTCAGAATTTTATATTTTTAATTTTAAAAATTTAACCTTAAAAATTCACAACTATTTAAATCCAGGCTTTAATTACTCCAATTTTTTGGTTCTTTAATTCACCCTTTATTGGTAAATGTCCGGTTGGTGTCCTACATGTCCGCAAAGAGAATGCGCATTTTTCCTTCCTTTTCTTGCATTTTTTTCTGCAAGGAGTGGCGCCCATTTTTCCTTTGTGTATGGTAGCCTTTTGGCATGTCGAAGGAAAGAGGGAAAATAATAAAAATTAATTACTAATAGAGTACAAATACCTATATATTTTATTTTATAAATGATCAGAGATGAAAAATTTGGGACAACATTCTCAAATAGATTTCTAAAATATCTGGGGAATCTTAATCCATTCGAAATCTTAATCTGTTCCAGAATGCTTCAATCTGCTGTGTATTTGCACCGTTTACTGGATCATAAAAAATTGTTGATGATTTACTGTTTGGTGTTGATATCCTAACTGATCTAAACCGAAAGTGAATTAATTCTGCTTGTAAATCAATCAAACATTATTAGTTATAATAACTTTATTAGTATTAAATTATATACTCTATTAGTAATTAATTTTTATTATTTTCCCTCTTTCCTTCGACATGCCAAAAGGCTACCATACACAAAGGAAAAATGGGCGCCACTCCTTGCAGAAAAAAATGCAAGAAAAGGAAGGAAAAATGCGCATTCTCTTTGCGGACATGTAGGACACCAACCGGACATTTACCCACTTTATTTTTAATTTTGAAAGAAACAAACAAAATTTAATGGCCATCAAATATAAAAATTTGTCATTCACACCTTCAGGTCAAGAGCTATCTGAGAAAATAAAAAATTGATTAAGTGCTAATAAAATCTTTGGGTTCTAAATTATTTATTGACCAATTGTTTCTTCTTTCTAATGAAATATTACAAATAAATATGTGACATATTGTGTGATAATAAAAGGGAAATAAACAAACAATGTTTAAAAATGATTAAATTTTAGGCTTTCTTCTGATTCAAAATTAAATGACAACAATGATGTTGCTGAAACATCTACAAAAACTACAAAAGCCTTTCCTTTGTCAACAACTGAACTGACAGATTTAAAGTATGTTTAACTAAATAAAAATGAAGGGGAAATGTCGTTATTATGGAATCCTTTTTTTAAATTAATATTTTGGGGAAGATCTGATAAATTATAAAAATTATAATTAAATTTTGTATTATTTTTAAATATTTTTATAAAAAGAAATAATTTTTAGATCAGGCCCTCGAGAAGAGCAAATGCCTTTGGTCGATGATTTGGCAAAGTCAGAGGATGGTATTTCTTTTGCCCCTTCTATTGCCGCTACTTCGGCTCTTGTTGTTGATTTTCGTTCAGATTTGTATAAATTGCGCGATTCTGTTAAAAAGGTGATTAAAATTAATTTCAAAAGTTGTGGAACTTGTTTAAATTTGAAAAAAATTATTTAGAATAAGAATAGGAAGGAGAAGTAGGGTGTGAACAAAGTACCTAATATCTTTTTTGGAATAATATCAAAAATTTATAAAAAATAGGACTGCGTATGAAATTAAGAATTTTTAACTAAAAATATTTAAAAAAATTATTTTTTCTTTCTAAATCCATTTATTAAATTTTTTCCTTTAATTTAAAATAAAAATCTAAAATAATTTTTTTCTCTCTCTCCTAGTTTTCCTTTATTTTTTTAATTTCTAATCACATTTTTACAAAATAATTAATGGTTATGGGACCGGAACCTTTAATCGGAAATTTGTCCAAAAACTGGAAATCTTTATATAAGAAACGCCTTTATTTGTCTCAAAAATATTTTTTTTCATATTTTAATAATTTTTAGGACCTTGAAGAATTGGAAACTTTACGGAAGCAAAACGCCTCTTTGCAAGAACAACTTGCTGAACGGAATAAAATTATTTTACAATTACAACGACAATTAAGGGGAGATTTGTGATGATGATTTCTTTTTTATTTTAAAAAATAAATAAATATAAAAATTCTGCAAAAATTTTGTGTACAAAAATAAAAAAAATCTTTTCTCGTTTAAAAAAATATAAATTACAAAATGTAAAAGTTGTTGAGAGAAACTTTTTTTGTGGAGAGATGTTTGGGCGTTATTTTTTGGTTTATTATAAAAATTTTAAAACTTTTAATTTTTTAAAAATAATTTTTGATTATATAAGCTTCTATTAAGTATTTTTGACTTCTTTAAAAATTTTAATCTTTGAATTTTATTTAACAAAAATTAATTTTAAAATTAACAATCAAGTCTATTTTTTGATAATTTCTGGTGATATTTTTTCCTAAAATTTTAAACTTTTTGTAACTAATGGAATATTTAGAAATTTTTGGTTCGGTTATATTAGTTCTGGGATTTCCCAGGATTCGCCAATTCTAAGTATAATGACTTAAGGAGTTTTTTTAGAATCCAAATAAGGAATTGTTTTTAGAATCCAAAATAAACAGCTTAAAGATTTTCTGAATGAAAATTTAGTTAGGAGAAATTTTAGTTAAAAATCACTGCTATTATTCCTTTAAAAACGGAATTAAAAATTCTGTGGAGACTGAATTTCTAAAATTAATTAGAAAACTAAGCTACCATTTTAATCTCACGTGTTTATCAATTTAGCGCCCAAACACCTTCACATTAAAAAATAAACTTTATTAAACTTTTATTAATTTTTCCGGAAGTTAAAATAACCAATGTATAAAAACTACGAAGCAAGTTTATTTTTATAAATTTATTTTTTCGTTTTGTTTTTTCTGTTTCAATTCCCGATCTTTCATTTTTATTAATTTGATTGGGACTTAAAATATTTTTTATTTGTATTTTTTTGTTTTTTGATTAAATATGTCTTTATCTGATAAAATAAAATATAAATTTATTTTGGGGGAACTTTTAATTGAAAAAAACATTTGAATCTAATTTTTGAAATATTAAAATTTTGTTTATGGTGCTTAGTGGGTTGAGCACGACCGGTTATTAACCGATACCCCCGGTTTCGGTTAATCTTAATTTCAAAACCCCGGTTTTTGATTTTGAGTTTTAGACAAATATCGGCTTTATTTTGGGGAATTTTTAATAAAATCACTCATTTTTTAAATTTTGTAAAAACGATTAATTTTTGGCAAAAAATATTAAAATTTTCGGTTTTAAAACTGGTCGTGCTGTTATTTTGAGAAAATTCTATCGAAATTGAAGATTTTTGTTTTTGAAATAAATTTCGTAAACATAATCCGATTTATCAATTAGTCTGGTTGGCAACCCTAATTAAAAGTTATAAAATTTTTTTTATCTATACTTTTTTTAAATTCATTCTCTCACTTTTATTTTAATTGATTTTCCTGATATATCCTCCTCCCTCTCTCTCATCCGCCGGATTAACTATATATTATTTGGAGATATTATTTTGGATTATTCAAACATTATTTGGAGGCGATTAAGTTGTTTCGCTTCAATAAATTTTAAATAATTTTTAATGGATACGCTAAAAACAAAAATTTTACAAATGACCTAAAAAGTTTTGGCTAATAATTATTGGAGAGAATAATAGGTATTTATTTAGGTTTTCCTGAAAAATCGAAAATTGTTTTGTTTAATTCAAGAGTTTATTAAAGAACTGTTTATATATTTACGGTTAGGACTAAAAAGATTTAAATCAGAATTTTAGAAATCAAAAAATAATGTAACGGAAATGCTAAAGAATCTAAGGAATTTTCCCATAAAATTGAAGAAGCAAATCTAAAAGGAGACTTGTTAAGCGGTCTCAGATAATGAATATTATCCATTTTAAAATATTTTCATTTAGAAATTCTCGAAATAAAAAATACAATGCCGGCAATACGTTTAGGTATGCATTAGAGTGGTAGAAAAGAATTATCACTGAAATATCCTCAAAAATTAATCTCACATTCTAATTTATTTTAGGTATATTACATTGTCTTTTATGGACTCTTGAATGATATATTTATTTTCTTTGTAGAATAAATTTGAAGAACTGTATAGACTTTTTTAACCCCTTGGAGGACTTTTAGTCTCCAACCGGAATCTAGCCGATATAAAATTTCCAATTCTGAAAATTAAAAGATCCTTTGTCCCAATGTACACTTATAAATTAAATAAATATTTAATTATTTATTTGCCAAATTATTTTACAAAAAATACATATAATTCTTTTAAAAACAATTTTTCCACATACATTTATATTTACTCATTCAAATAAACTAATCTCCGTTTTCTCTCCCAAATATTCTTTCTGATTGCTTTTCGGATAAACTCTGCGCACTCACTACTAAACTACCCATGCATTTCACTCTCTTTTTATCGGCGTTTTTGTTTAAATTTTATTTTTATATTTATTTTAGACGACCTTTTTTTAAACAAAAAAAAATTATTTTTTATTTAAATTAATTTTTAATTTTCCGAAAATAATTAATTTTAATTAAATTTTTTTCTTTTAAAATCCGAACACTTATCATAATTTAATTTTTTTGTAAAAATAATTGACCTAAAAATTGGGGTTTCTTTAAAGATTAATTATTTAAATTTAGGTGATTATTCTTTTTTATTAATTTTTTAGTTAATTAAGAAAGGATAAAATTATATGAATATATTTTAGAATTTTTGTTTCTTTTCGTTCATTTACCCAATTTTAATTAAAAAAATAGAATTTTAAATTTTAACTAAATAAGTCCACAAAACCTTTAAAATTTAATATTTTTCTTCTTTTAAATAAAAAATTGAAAAAATTTTAATTAAAAATGTTATATGTTATATATATAACATTTGTTATATATTCATAACCTAACTAATTTATAATTTCTTTTTTATTTAGCTAATAATTAAATAATTTATTTACACAAAAACTATATTTTTCAAATTTTTCTTTTTCCAAAATCCCCAAAAAATAATTTTATCTTGATTTTCTGTGTTCAGCATGCCTATTCGTTATCCTATTTATATAAGTATTTGGTATTTGCAGCTTCTGTTTTTTAAAATTTCAGAAACCATCTATTCAAAATGAGTTAAGAGCTTTTTTCGATCAAAAAAGTCCATCTCTTGCTAGTGATTTTCAATCCATTTCTTACTAAAATTTTTTTAAGAATTTCTATGACCGGTCTCGTTAATAAATTAAAATTAAAAAATAATTTTTTTTTATAAAAAAATTATTAATTTACATATATTTATTAATTTAATAATTAATAAAATAATCAATCTCCCTCTCTTTTTTCTCTATAAAATCTCCCCCAAACAATTTCCAAC